CTGGTGTCTAAAATTTGAAGCAAAAAACCTTTGACCAGACAACGCCGGGTAATGCCAGCAACTGAAACGAACTCAAATAAAGTACTGGGACATGAATTTGAACCCGAAACCCACAAAATCTGTGACCCCATTTCCACCAAGAATGTATAGATTTTCCGAAGAGTGAAAGAACGTTTTAATGAATTTATACAAAAGTCTCTTTAAATTTGAGGTCGATCGGAATTTAGCTGTCAATTATATATACCTTGAAGCCAGTAGAAATTTATGTGACGCTACTAAAATTTAAATACCAAAAATTTGATTAAAAAAATAATAACAATTTACAAAAGCAACAGAACATTTGCAACAGTTTATATAATTGAATATTAAATCCATCAAACAACAATTCATGGAAACGTTAAATTTCGTACTTTCGATTTTCCCTTTCTTGAGACAAATATTTAAAAGCAACATTTCATTTCTATGATTTATAGAAACTATTATCAAGTTTTCGTAGAAATGTAATTTATTTTTCATATGCTTGAGAAAGCTATTTTAATAATAAACCAAAAATTCACTTTTCTAATTAAATCTTAAAGCAAAGAAAATTCAAAGAAAAATCTATTTACATTCATATTAATATCTAATTGGGATTTCACTTTGAGCTACATTTTAGACAAAGAAAATAGATTTGTTGCTTTCGTTTTAATGCGGACCCACAACCATGCCCCGTTCCCGCCCCCCAAAGCTGTCATAAAAGTCAATTCTATAGTTAGACCCGGCCCCGATGGGACATCAACAAGTTCATTAGACGAGCCGCGGACGCATACTAAGCGATCATTAGAGGACCGAAACTGGATACCTCTTTGGGCCACTTGGCGCCTTGTCGCGCATTTTACATCGAATTAACACACACACGCACTCACACACACACACACTCTGCATTTTTATAGCCATGTGCCGGCAAAAGGGACTGCATCATAAAAACCCGACACAACTATAAAAACAATCAAAACGAGTTACGAACTTGCCAATTTTGTTGTTGCCTCAGCCTCGTAAATTTGTGGCACGGCTAGGAACTTGAGCTGCAGCTGCCACGCCTCTCGATGCCGCCCACTTATTGTAGGCGCCCTCATTTTACAGCTGCATAAATCATAAAAAAAAAAAAAAAGCAAAAGCAAAAGCAAAAATGCGAAATGAACGCGCTCATAAAAAGGGCAAACCCATTAAAACTTTAATAAACGCAGCTAATAAAAGTAAATAAACGAGAGGCCAGGCATTGAGCACCGGCTCCTGCGCCACATCCTGTTGCCATGCCTGTGCCCGTTTCTGTGGCTTAATTAGCGCTGTAAATTGAGCCGACTAGCCTACCTTAGTAAGGTGCATATACTCACCTGCCGCCTGCCGGCAAACATTTGCTGCTCAATTTCAGATTCAAGAGTCGCACCGTACGCTGCCTCGCCTCCGCCACGTATATTGTGCGACAAATCTGTAATCTGGGCATCACCGTATATACGCCCAGCGTGGCGCTATCCGCCGTCATTGGCATACCCTATTGGGCATCCATAGTTGGCATGTCGGTCATCTGCATATTCTTCACCATTATGGTAAGTAGACAAGAGCGAGCTCTTAATGGCAATTGCTTTATATCCTTTATTTGCTTCTTTTTTTTTTAGGGCGGCCTGAAAGCAGCCATCAATGCGGACGTCATCCAGACGATAACCATTCTGGTGGTAACCGTTGCCGTCTGCATACAGGGCACCATCTCCAGCGGCGGACCCAAGAAGGTTTACCAGCTGAACCGTGAGAATGGTAAGCAATCAGTTTTCGGTATTCGGTTTCCATTTTTCGGGCTCCGATTGATCATGGCAGCTTATTAGCGTGTCTCCTGTCAAATGGTGCTTGCATGTGTGTGTGTGTGTGTGCGCCACTTTCATATTTATGCTGACGAATGATGACTATTAAAATGACATCCATTTTAGGTTGCTGTTGTTTTGTTGTTTTCTTGTTGTTGTTGTCGCTGCGTCGGCTCATTATGCACATAAATGATGATGATAAAACCGGCATATAAAACAGCAGTCCCCCACCCCCCACGCATTCAGCACCATCAACAACATCAACAGCAACTTGTGCTGGGCATTTTCAGCTATTTTCTAGCTCTATTTAGCTATTTTCAAGCACCAGTCCGGTTTACGGCTGCAATTTAGCTGTTTTATGGCAGCTCTTTGGCTAGCACAAGCAACTCTGCTTATTGTCAATTTGTGCTCATCAAGCTAATACAGCTATTTTTAGCGACAGTTCGCAACACTGGTTAGGCTGCGCGGCTGCGTGACGACGGTAATAAATGTCTGACGGCATCGCGTTTGTCACTTTAGTTTGAATCCTTGGCTGTCATTGTAACAATTGCCGAGCTCTGGGAATTTACCCATATGGCGGGCCATTGAATATATACCCATTTTCCATGCCATGCAACTGCACTAAGCTATACGCACTGAACTTTTCTATTTGCTTTCTTAATTTTCGTTTCTCATAGGCCGCTTAAACTTCTGGAACTTTACCGGCGACCTAACCGTGCGCGTTGATACCACCTCCGCCTGGCTGGGACAGCTGTTTATGTCGCTCTCACAGATTGGCTGCCAGCAGAACTTTATGCAGCGCTATGTCAGCCTCAAGTCGCTTAAGGAGGTGCGAAGGTTAGTTTCACAATTCTCACAAATCACAAAAAAAAAAAAACAAGCACATGGAAAACTTCGATAAGTTAAATCGCGCCTAATGCGTAATAAATCGCAGTGTGGCCGTTTTTAGTTTGGCTATTTTTACCTCCTTTAGAAGAAGTTATCGATATCCTGCGCTTAATGCAACCGATCATTGGCGATAAAATTACTTTGAAATCAAGTTTATATAAAGTTTTCCTATTTTTAGGGTCATGCTGAGCAACGTGCCCATCGTGTTTATATTCTTCGCGCTCTCATGGCTTTCGGGAATGGTGATCTACTCCACGTACATTAACTGCGATCCCTATGCCGAGGGTTACATTAGGAAGCCAGACGAGATTCTGCCCTTCTTTGTAGAGGATCAGCTGGGCTTCCTGCCCGGCTTTGTGGGCATCTTTATGGCCACGCTGTTCAATGGCGCACTCTGGTATTTTACCTATTAGCTATATCACGCTTACATTTGCTAATTTTCTATCATTCCACTAGCATGATGGTTTCGAACCTTAATTCCTTGGCCACCGTTTGCTGGGAGGATTTCGTGTCACAGTTGCCAAAATTCAAGGGACTCAGCGACAAGCAACAGTTGAGAATTATTAAAATTGTGACAATTATTTGCGGTCTCATTATCATGTGCGTTGCCTTCGGAGTGGGCCTGCTATCCGGCGTTATCGAGTCCTCGCTGTTGGTTTTCTCGGCCACGTCGGGACCGCTGCTCGGTTGCTTCATTCTGGCCATGATGGTGCCTGTGGCCAACTGGAAGGGCACATCCGCTGGCATGATAACAGCATGCGCTTTTGTGCTCTGGATAATTGGCGGAAGCATGACCATTGACAAGCCCTCCAACATGCTGCCCACTTCCACAGAGGTAAGAAGCAAGCGAATGCTTGAAATGAGTAACAGATTAATCAAAGTTCATCTTTTTTAGGGCTGCTCGAACTCAACCTTCTCACGATCCATTGGCAAGCCCAGCAGCGGACTTGATGAGCTGCCCTGGCTGTTAAAGCATACACCAATCGATGGCTACAATCAAACATTTACAGATCCGACGCCACGAATTGCTCACGATCGGTAGGAAACCCTAATTATATATATAGAGAGATGACTTATATGCGTATTTCTTGCAGAACTGCTTTGGAGTCGTTCTATTCCATCAGCTTTATGTACTACAGTTTAATTGGAACAGCATTGACGGTGCTCATTGGCACACTCATCAGCTGTCTGACCCAGCACTCGGATGACGAGTACGATGCCAAGCTGCTGCATCCGATCATATTCCGCTGCTACGAGCGCCTGAACGTGCCCAAGCCGTACTATATTAAGCATGAGGAGGAATCCGGTCTGAATAGACGCAGCAGCAGCAATTCCTCGGCGACCAACGCGGGCAAGGAGGAAAAGATCAACCAAGCTTTTGATGCCAACGAGATGCTTGAGAAGGCGAAGACCAATCCCATAGCTGTGGTCTTTACAAACTCCTCCAACGCTGAACGACCGAATTCCATTTGTGATGCGAGTCGAACCCAACTGGAAACGGTGCCGGCGGGCGAAACGGGCATCTATCGACAGCTCGGCTCAAAGACGACCTTCTGAGATGTACTGAAACCCTCCGCAAATAATACATATATGTAAATGAAAACATAGTCGATAGTTAGTCGTATAGGTCGTAAGCTAAGCCATCGTCTAATCTAATTAATGAGGGGAGTTACTCATACACCTTCCGTGTATCAAGTCGATAAAGATGCTGTGATCATTGTACAAGAGTATACTTTGCGCATACTGCAATATTTTTGAGAGATATTTTGTGATGCGTAGTGTAGAAAACCAATTTTATGTGTATATGTACTTATGTGTATGTGTAGTAAGCAAATGCAATAACAGAATTTTTAAATAAATATAATTTTGTGCAATTTTTAAATCATTAAAGTCAGTTGCAAATATATAATTCCTAAAACTTACGATATATCGCATATTTGGTTTGTTTGATTTTCGATATATAAAAATAGAATAAAGTGTATATGTATTAATAATATATTTTAAAAAAAATCATATTTCTTTGCACAGAAAAACCGTTAATTTAAGTTTTCAAATGTTTCGTCAAATGCTTTTCAACGATTTACGTTGAGTAGTGCTGCCATTCTTTGTACTGATGGTGCTGCCCATCAAACATGCGCTCTGCCGCTTATCGATAACAATTTCACTTACAGCTGTTTTGCAACAGTGCTGGCAAATTCTTATTAGGTCGTTTAGAACTAAAGCTAATAAATTAAGTGCTTAAATCTAAAGTAAATATTTAAATACAATACCCGATTTAAGGCAACAGAGCAATAACAAGAGAATATGCACATATATCATTGTCGTCTAGTCGTACATTGTATATAGCACCTGTGATGTGGCTTTTATCAATATGGCAAAAATCAGCTGAAATGGCGCATCTCTGTCAATAACAATCAGTTTTGTGGGGGGTTTTATTGTTAGCGGCGCAACGAAATGCAAAGCACGCAAAACTTAGCCAGGCGAATTCTAGGAAATATATAAATTTCGATCAAAATGGCTACTTTGGCAAAGCCAAAAAAAGAAGTGCGTATCCATGTAATTGTATATGTATAAATAGATGTAAATAACATTCAATTGTAGAAAACGAAAAAACAAAGGGCAATCCACGATCGCCAGCAAGAGGCAGAGGCGGAGGGGAACGAGAATGAGTTGTCAACAAATATTGTTGACCACGAACAAAGGCAACTAGATAATGCGTCGCTGCTGGAGGAGTTCGAGCGTGTTGCTGCACTGGCCAGCAGCAGCAACAAAGCCGAAGCCATCATCAGTCACGATTGCTGCATATCAAGTGACGTAGTACCGGGCGAGCTGGAGATAACAACAGCAGCAACAGATACACAGGCACCTGCAGCAAGTGAGGAACTTGAGCCAGCGCCCAGCGCGCCATGTGCACCCGTTGCACCGGCGGCATGCGTTCCCTTGGTGCAATATCCCAATCTGGAGCCGATACGAGTAGCCAATGCGCTGGTCGAGGAGCAGAAGACGCCGATTGTTTATAGGGAACGGGTGGCGCGCTCGGCGGGCTTTGCGCTGGCCAGCAGTAATCTGAAGCCGTTTAGCAGCGAGCAGCTGAAGCAGATCTATCAATGCTCGGACTTGCAACTGGTCAAGCAGTTCGAATTGGAGTTCCTAATGAACACACTGCTCGAATCCAGTGAAACAGATCCGCTCTATCTGGCACTGCAGGAGTACTACAACTTGCAGGGCAAGCTCTCGTCAAATTTGCACGATGTCAAAGACAAGCGCAAGGAATGCCTGGACACGCAGCAGCTGGTCTGGACGCGGGAGCAGGTGACACGCAGCTTCAGCGCCAGCTGCGGCGATGGCAACGTGGTGCGGGAGAGCATAACTTACGAGTGAGACGAACCTTAAATCCTTATCAATCCCATTAAATAATATACATCATATTTTAGACGCATTAAAGTTGACCCAATTCGGTTGGAATCTGCCACGGCGGCATTAACATTCCTCTACGACCTGGTGTGCCATACATACACCTCGAACCTGATTACGGCAAAGATAACAAAAGTGAAAATCGATCAGCTCATTGACGAGCTGCTCGCGTATCCTGTGGATGCCCAGGCAACTATTGTTTTGCACAACCAATTGGATGCAGCTGCTCTTGAGTGCGTGGCCAAACTTCGACGCGCCATCTGCATTCTCTTTAGCTTTGCGCGACGACCGAGTCCTAATGCGGTATTTCTTATAATATTCTCAATCTCAGTATGCACACTGAGCAAATGTTTTCTTGCAGAACTTTGATGCGGATCTGAAGCTTTGGCTGCGCAAGCTTGTTGCACTGCAGCTGTTGCTGGCGACCAAGGAGGATCATTGGTTTCTGCTCTTCAACATTTTGCGTTGCCCCAACGGCGTCGGCGCCTGGGCTGCTGAATTTTTGCAGCTGCCTGGCATGGTGCAAGCACTTTCAAAGTCGAATGGAACGCAGCCCAATGAGCTGCCGCTGCCACTCGCTTCTCCAGAAATTAATCACTGCATCGCCGTGCTGCAAATTCTGCTGCTGCCCATTAAAAAGCGCAACGAGTATCTGAAGAGTCAGGCACAAGCGCACCGGGAGCTTTCGCATGCAACGGGTGGTGCTGAGCGCTGGACAGTCGTCGACTCGGATGGCGAGGATACACTGACGCCGACAGGCGAATGTGTGGGCCTTAAGGAGACCGATCTGATAGCGCTGCTCAATCAGCTGCCGTTCGATAAGCTCTTTACGTAAGCTCTGCTCTGGCCCATTTATGATTGATTAATTATAGTTATCTTGCTTGACAGCTCCGCCTTGTGCATTGAGAAATTCCTGAATGACTACATCATTGAGCCGGACATGATAACGCCCCAGCAGATGCTTACGGTAGTGGCCTTTTTTGCTCAACTGGTGGAGACGCTCGGCGAGGGCATGATGACGTACAACAACGAACGCTACAAGCAGCTGGCCAAGCGTCTGGGACGCCTGGTGCGCCATTCGCTGCAGTACGCCTCCGATTACCATGAGCTCTTCCTGTAAGTTAACCCTGGCAATGTGCATGCCTTTCAGCTAAAACATGAGTCCATTGCACTTTGCAGCAACAACAATTTGCCCAAGTCGCAGGAGCTTTGCGAGCGCATTGAGCTGGAAATGCAAGCATTGCTTATACGCGCCTGCAGCTACATTTATCGCTCGCGCAATTTGGGCACCTGGCAGTACTTCTCCACGCTGCCGTACACGACGCTTCATGCGGACATTATTTGGCATCTGTTCTACTATCTTAACGTGGGCTTTCCCAGCGATTTGACCATCCAGCTGACCGCTGATCCGGAGACTGTATTTCAGACAGATTTCTGGAGCAAGTTTGATGTGGCCAATGCGGATGTGTCCGCTGAGGATATGTACTATCTATTGCAGGCCTTCTTCGAGATGGCCAATGCACGCGATCGCACCAAGGACTGGCCAATAATCCGCATCATTTGCTTAACCATCTTTCAGGTAGGTTATCATAATCAATGTTTCCACTTTGTCATTTCATACGTTCAAAACATCCGCAGATTGGCTTTATTCATCAAAGCACTCGCGAGTTCTGCTACAAAGCCGCACGAGATATGCTCATCAGCATTACCCTGGCCTATGAGGAGCTCTTGGATTGCCTGTTGTTGCAGCTGAAGACGCGGTTCGCTGAGATCGAGCAGGCGGCATATCTATTCAAGGCTCTGCCGCTAGAGATCTGGCGCCCAAGCATGGACAGCTTTGAGCTGCTCTCCAACTGGTTGCTACACTTTGATTACCAAACCGCTGAGAACCGACTGGCGCGTCTGATCATTGGCCATCTCAACTGGAGCTTTGATGACGAGGGTCGTCTTTATTTACAGCATAACATTCACGTGCGCATGGCTTGTCTTGTGGCCGAGGCTATAAGCAAGCACACGCCGGAGGTACTTGGTGCCTCCAGCATCTCGGAGAGCGTGCGGCAGGTCTCCTCGCTGATCGACTCGACGCAGTCCAGCCGCGAACAGTTCACCAACTGGTGCTGGCGTATGATATCCATGCTGCGTCTGCATCTGATGGATCAGAGTGTCGAATCTGTTAAACGCACGCTGCAGCATCCGACGGAGCCGTTGCTCTTTGTGCCAGACCTGGAGCGTCTGGAGATGATTTGGCAGGGCGTCACCGAGCAGCGCCCACTCGCAATGTATGTCGCCGTTTTGGTCAGCCTACATGGCCATTCGATACCGCTTATATGCCAGCATGGCTTCGAGCTGCTCCAACAGCTGCTCAGCGACCATCGCCATGCGGCTGTCATACGCAGCCTCGAGCTGATTGTGCCGCTGTTCCTCGAGACGCCCGATACGCTGGCCAACTGCGAAAGGTAAGCAATAAATAAATCAACTTATACAACTACTTATAGAACATTTTGTTGACAGTTTTCAGAAGCTGCTGATAACGCTGCTCAATGCGGACAGAACTTACCTGAAACTGGCCAAGGACATGGTTTATGCCAATTCCATTGGTCCCATTCTCGAATTGCTGGATAATATGCTGCATCATCAGATTGTGTCCTATACCAAGTAGGTCTTCTTAATATTTGATCAATCAACTATCACGTCTTTGCCTACCTTCTAGCTATGGCCTCTGCTCGCCTTTGAATCTTATAAATATCTGGCTCAATTGCTTTACTGCATTACCTGGCTGGGCACAGAATGCGCACGTTCTGTACCTTCTGGATAAGATGCTACGAATCGCCTATCAGTTCGCCGATTGTCGAGCGCAGGCCGTCGAGTACTTTTACAACTACTACAAGGTAGATGACAGAAATTGTATTTCATAAAAGTCTGATATAAAAATCGTTTTTGCAGGACTGCGCCGACTGGAAGACACCACCAAAATCTTCGGCACTGAAAGCGCTATTTGGCGGTCAGGCAAACTTGCGTATACCCGTGCTCTCGCCCCAGAATTGCTGGTTAAATCTTGTGCTATTAGAGATTGAATTCAGGCTGCAGGACACACGCTTTTGGCCGGAACTCTTGCGTCAGCTTTCCACACAAACGGTGGAGGCGGCGCTCAAGAAAACTCTTGCGCTCAGCAAGACGAATAGCTTTCCGGCCCAGCAGCTGGTTATCTACAAATACGCACAGCTGCTGAGCAGCATGGATGTCACACATGCGCTCTTTCCGATCTTCTGCCAGAAATTCTTTGAGCTCTATCTGTGGCGAGTGCCCGCCGAATGCGACGCACAGCAGCTGAATCAAAACTATGGTGTCGCCGAAAAGTTCTACGAGCACAACGTAACTCTAATGAAGTCGATTAAGACGCAGCTGAAGTCCGCCGAGGTCTATTACGCTGCTGTTGCCACAAAGCGCGCCCAGGACGATGCTCCCGCGCACATGTATCGCAGCTGCACGAAGCTGATGCAAAGCTGCGCGCTCTGGCTGGAGGACACGCAGATTAATAAATTCGCCAGCGATGCCTGCCAGCTGCCGGCACAATATAACAGCGAGAAGCTGCGCGAGCTGCTCAACGGCCATGTCACGCACTGGACCGAGTTTATTAGCCCCGCCGATCTGCGCAAGGAGCAGCGCGATCAGGCGAACAAATGGTCCGCCAAGATGTATCGCGTGCACGCACACAAGACCTTGCGCTCTGCGCTCCAGCCCAAGCCGAGACTGCCACCCGCCCAGCGTCTCAAAGCTAATCTGGCTACCTATGATAAACGCCTGCCACCACCCACCCACACTCGTCCGGAGCAAATCCAAAAGCGTCCCATCGACGGGCTGACGCTGTCCGAGCTAAAGCGTCTCATACAAACTCTCAACAGCACCGCCAAGTAAGATAAGTAGGGACTTATAAAATGGAAGAAGATCTACGGGATGTAATTAATGTTTTAGTTAATGAGTAGCGCACAGACGGAGACATCTCCGACCCCATAAAGTATATATATATTCTTGATCAGTATCAACAGCAGAGTCGATCCGCCTGTTCGTCTGTCTATTTCTAGTCTCTCAGCCTTGAAGCTATTGTCATGAAGCTTTGCATACATTTACTCTTTCTATTGCACACAGTATATATGTCGGAACCGAATGGATCGGACCACTATATCATATAGCTGCGATAGGAACGATCGGTCCAAAATTAGGTTCTTGTATGAAAAGTTTTCTGTTTATTAAGATATCTTGAGCAAACTCGGCATTAACTATATTCCCTGTGCTTGTTATTTACTGGCAACGCAATTTTGATTATTTTTTTTATTAATTCTTCGTAATATATTGGGTTAAATATAATATTTATAACTATCTAATTGCCTACTCTATTTCCCTAATAGCAAGTTTCATTACAATACGTCGGAGCTGAATTCCCTTAACCTAAATTATCTGGAACGCGTGCCAGCCTTGTACCAGATGGTGCCTTACAATGAGACGCGCAGTAAGGAATGCGAATCCTTACTCTTCAACCGAAAGTGCGTGCGACCGGCACAAATCCAGCTGGTGCCGGAGCACATACGTCGCAACGAGCAAGTGGCGCGAAAGCAGGAACAGAACAGGGAACGTCACGACAAGATCGTAGAAGAGATGCTGGCACTTAATGTGGATGGCTTCGCACAGGCCATCGAAAAGCTGGGCAGTTGCATACGGCAGCTGCTGCAGGAGCAGGCCAAGCCCAACAAACAGGTGACGCCCATTGGCGTTGGCTTCTTCTACCATGTTGTAGACAACATGAACGATATAACCATGAAGTTTCAGCCCACAAACGATTTCTATTCCCAAGTGCTGGAGGAACTGGGCGTCAGTATAGATTTATATCTAATGTAAATCATATAAATTAATCATATTCTTTTTTGCAGATATTTATTCAAGCCGAGCAGGCGAAGCAGGGTCTGACTGTGCTCCGTTTGGCGCTGCAACGTGGCGACCTGGTGGAGCAGCTGGCCGGCGTGTTTGTGCCCTGCCGCACGGATGCCGAACACTTTCTGGACATGTATCAGTTCCTCATCGACTCGCATCTCAAGCGCTGCGATACCAAAATTCTATTCGTGCTGCTGTCCAAGTTCGATTTACTCAGCTGGCTGGAGGCCTATCAGCCGAAGCTAAGCGAAATAAATCGGCTGCTGTTGCTCGTGCTGCAAGGTCTAGAGTCCTGGTCGCAGCCACACAGCAGCCTTTTGCAGGATCAATTCCGTCGACAGCTGGTGCACATTTTTACCTACGACTTTCCGCAGCATTACGGTGAGGTCATGCAGCTGGTGCTCGATCGCGTATCTGACCAGAAACTGATGCCGGTGGTGCTGCTCGATCTACTTAATGCGCTGCTATCGCCCGCCAGCTCGGTTCTGACATTGGACTGCACGGAGGTGCAGCTGCACGAGGTGGCCTTTGACTTTGCCCGTCGCCAAAAGTTGTTTACTCTGAAGGCGTCGACGGAGACGATGTTGCTGTTTGCGCGGCACTTTCAAAAGGAGCGACTGCATCATGGCCTCCATGGACTGTATCCCAAGCACAAGGATTATTGCCAGCCGCTGGTCATGTGGTTCACCTGCTTTGGACACGTGCTCCTGGCAGCCGCTATTTGCAGCTACCAGGAGCTGCTGGCCGATCAGAGTGAGTATCAGCTCGAGGATCATACAATGGAAGCGAGCTAAACGAACTCCCTTTTAGTTAGCGACATTGTATTTGGCTCCATTGTGGAGACCTATGCACCATGGTTAATCCCATACACGGAGCAAACGGAACAGGCGGCAGGCGCTGCCGCGCACTGGATACGTCAGCTTAGTCCCGATCAAGGCAAGGTCCTGCTGCCATGGAGTGAGACGCATGTGGCAACCAGCAAGCTTATTATCAGATCCTTTATAGCCAATATTGTGCAGGTGGTGCAGTATCTGCCCGCTTCAAGCAAGATACTGGAGCACGTTTTCGCTTGGTATGTGCACCACTTTGCCCAACTCAACGTAGCTGGTCATGTGCTGGCGCCCATTCACGAGGGACTTGCACAACTGCCCTGGGAGCGCTTCCTGCCGCCCGCTCAGCACATTGAACTGCTCTATGAGAGCGTGCAGCGCTTCATACCCGAGTCTCATGCTATGCTAGGGCACATATTTATACGGATCGATTGGAACACCTGGTTTACACAAATGCTGCAGCCGACGGGCCTGCTCTCGCATCTATTCAACATCTTTATCAAAATGGCTTTCGAGCCAAACATTCACATGCATCCCAACACAAGCAAGATTCTCGAGGATGCCATCAAGCATCCCTGGTATCTCGTCGAGTACAGCGAACTGGAGCAGTTGCTGAAGTGGTTCGTGACCCATGTGGAGCCGGCCATTGTGCTAAAGTTGCCCACGGAGAGCAACTACGTTGATCGCGCCGTTCTGGAGTAGGTAAACAAGTACAATAGTCGAAGAATTGACTCATGATTCATCCTTTGTAGTCTTCTGCGCGTGGCCTGCGCTATGCTGCCAGACAGCAGCACGCATGGAGCAGTAATTCAGGCAACAGCCAAGCGCATGCTGTACACACGGTCTATGATGAGTATGCAGCGCGCCTGTGGAGCCAAGCACAAGAAGCTGTTGGCCACCAAGGAGGGTGAACGCAGTTTTAGCGTTGCTTTTGAAAAGCTTCTGGATTCGATTGACCTGGCCATCAGCGGCTGCAGTGAACAGCGCACGCCGGAGGAGCAGCGTCGTGAAGCACTCAATCTTATGCTCGAAATTGTGGCGCCCACACAGACGCAAAGCGAGGAGATCTCCAAGTAAGTTGAGATATAAATAAAAGCGTCGTTAATAAAGCTAACCCAATCCTCTATGCTTGCAGCCTCCACATCCAAACACTTGTGCGCTGGCAACATCAATGTCCGCCAGCCAATCCGGTCATGTGTGCGGCTCTACCTGCCATTGGGCATCTGAATACCTATATTTCGTGCATCTACACGCTCCTGGAGTCCACCATTGAGTGCTATTTCCGCAGATCGACGGAGAACGCCCCTTGGCATTCGCCCAGCTGGCGGGATCTGTTTGAGGCTCTGCAAATGTCGCTGCCCAAGCTCGAGCTGATGCCCGTCATGCGCGGCGGCTATTTCTTTTCGCTGCACATCTTTGTGCTCTACAAGTTGGAGGAAATCGAAACGGATGGCGAAAAGGTCACATTCCTGCAGGACCTCACGCAATTACTGGAGAATTTGAAAACTAATCCGCAAACCGAACCGCGTATGGCGCTCGTCTGGGGTCTCATTATATCACGTGGCTGTAAGCTACTTCAGAGTTCGCAGCATGTGAAGAAACCGCTCTGTATGCTGGCGCGCCACCTGCAAATAGCCTCAACAAAGGCCGAGGGCTGGAGCGATGGTCTGCTGGGCGTTATTGGCCTTAAATCGGAGAATATTACCAATAAGTTCGAATCATATACCTTTTCCACATATATATATATTTATATATATATATATATATATATATTTACTAATCAAACCGATTTCTTATTACAGACGCAAGGTGCTGACCCGTTGCCTCGCATGCATAATCTACTCGCTCTTTCCGGCCAGCCGGGACTTACGACTGCCTTGCGAGGAGTACGAAAGCGCCATGCGGGAGCTGGCCATGCTGTTGGCCAATAAGAAATTCGTGGACGTTAAGCCGCTGATTGTCAGGGCCGTAACCATTCTCAAGGAGCAGCTGTTGCCGGACGTGCGATCTGTGCCCCATTTGATTTGCCGTCTGATCGATGTGTTCTATGAGGAGAGCTATCTAACGACCATTCCGGAGGTATGGGATTGCGATTTCAAGCTAAAAGCAACCTAGTTATCGTTGTGGCAGCCAGTTGTGTTAATTTTTTCTACGGATTATAGATATATATATATATATACATACATATTTACATGGAAGAATAAAGTGATACTTTTTTTTGCTACTTTGGAAATTGCAAGCAAAAACATTTAAACCAAGTATGTGGATAACTTTAATGTTTACAACTTATGGACTAAAATTCATTAATCAGTTTGGAGCGTGCATACTTGAAGCTATTTGTTTAAGCGTAGTGACAGTATGTGATACACTATAACGATGGTGCGACATTTTGATGGTTTTTAAATTGAATACAATTCAGACATACTAGTGCGAGTATAAATATTGAGCTAACGGAAAGATAACAATCAAATATATATATATATAAAAATAAAACTCACAAGCACAAATTGCTACATAAACTATATAAATAACACTTATAACTTATACAACTAGTCGTACGGCTTGGACAGAGGAAATCCTTTAGTCATCCAGCGCAAAGTTGGATAACTGCAGATGTTGCAGATTATTGCGCGCATCAAAGTAACCGGTGTCCGTTGGATTATCCGGCGTTGGAACAAATGGTGGCTCCATATGCCCGATGTTCTCCCAATCAATGCCGGCAAAGTGACGCATTTGCTGCACCTCTTTGGCAGCTGGGCGCTCCGCGGGCTCCATGGTCAACATCAGCTCCACAGCCTCCATGGCATCAGCCGACAAAGCCTCATCCCCTTCAGGCCATTCAATGTCTGCAACACGGATTAATTAACTTAATTGGAGCTTAATGAAGCACATCAACTTGTACTTACTCTTATTGAGAATGTTGTCAAATACTTTCTGGGGCGTTTCGTCGTTGAAGGGCGGTATGCCAGTCATGAACTCGTAGAAGCACACGCCCAGCGCCCACCAGTCAACGGCCGGTCCATGACCCTGTTTGAGCAGCAGCTCCGGCGCCAAATAGTCGGGTGTACCAAGGATGCGTTCGTTAGATACGCGAGCGCCGCGTCGCACCGATTTGGGCGTACGAAATGGTGTATTTACGTTTATGGTATTTTTGGGCGTCTTGGGAGCAATGCTGCCGCCATGATTTATAGGCGACATTGTTGGATCATCGGCCAGCTTTAGATGGTACTGAGCACCGGATAGCTTCTCCACGGCCGCGTGCTCAAGCTTTTTATTTTCAATGGAAAGTGGCAGGGCAAATCGTGTAGCCTTTAATTTGCCCAACAGGCCTCCATCACGACGCGGCAGCTTCTGTGAGGACACGGGCGTCGAGAAGACCACATTGGCCACGCTGGCCTCAGAGCCCAGCAGATGCTGCATGGGCAAGTCATCATCCGACAGAGAACGCACCTTGAGCACACCACGTATGGGCGAGGAGCGCGCCTTGCGCTTTTTGGGCGTACTGCTGCCAATGTTAAGAATCTCGATCTCTTGGGTCAGGCCAGTGCTTGTACTGGCATTGCTGGAAGCATCTACCTCCATGCTTGACATGTTATCCGAGCGATTGACCAGGTTTATTTTGCGCTTCATGCCACGCAGAAAATCAGGTCGCTTAAAGTGCTTGGAGTTGTTACGGAAAGGCGAATTCATGCGTATGCCACTTAGCTCATTGGCGTTATTTGTCATATTATAGCTGAAATTAGAAGCTGAATTGAATGCGTTTCATGGCAATGAATTGCTGTATGAATGATTAACCTGGGCGAGTAATCGGAGCAGCTGTATTCTTCCTTTGACTGACTGAGATTATCTGGGTTCTTCTCTATGGAGGAGGCGGTACTCTCACAATTCAAATTCAGATGACAGCTAGAGTTATCGTCACCTTTTCGACTGGACACGCCCGAGTCCTCCTGGAGCTTCGAATTGCGGTTGCGCTGTTTAATACGAATTCAATGTCAATATTTTAAGGCGCAAAATTGTTATTAAGTGGAAAATTGTGAGAGACAATCCTCTAAATATCATAGTTATACCCTGTTCAGTTCCTGATCTTTTTCATTATTTTAATTAGTTAATTGATTTTTTATTTCTTACAAAAGCTTTGTTGATCTGTTAAATGTTTAGGTTGGTCTATATCATATACTTATTATTTATCCCAACTTTATTTGTGAATTTGAAAATGGAATTTTGTGTGCGCTTAATATAAGAATGCAGAACTTTTATATGAGTTCTATATCTTTAACGAAAAAGTTCTTGGATTTAGGCAAGAAATGGAATTGAAGCGGAGTAAAAATACGTGGGTTGAACCTACAAACATTTGTGGTTTCAGCCTAAGCTGTTATCATTTCAATATTTTAACCTATTGCAATGACAATAGGCACAATCCCTGGAACTACAAGAACAACAATAACGACATGGCCACACACAAAGAAAGAAACTAGTGACACACACACACACACAGGATACAACGCACCTCGTCGAGCGAACGCCTGCGTACCATGGAAAACTCAAACGAAGCTTCGTTCGCATTTTCCAACTTGACAACATCTTTACCATCGCCGTTCTTGTCCTGTTCGGCAAATTTGCAGCCCTTTTGGGTGAATGAAGCATATGCATATTTAACGGGGGCAGCTGGGTACGCCCAGTGTCTGACACTCACCTGGCACTTGGCACGTGCACTAGCACTGGCATCTTTACTGACGCTATCCAAAATGAATTCGACGCGTCGCTTTGTTGTTGCCGGAGCCCCGCCCGCGGCTGCTGCCTCCAGAGGCGGCGAGCACTTGCTGATGTCCGCCGACGTGCAGGTGTGATAGGAAGACGAGCTGCTGTCCAGAAGCTGCAAACCAACGGAATTTATATTACATATATATATATAAATAAATATCTTGTGTATTTACATTATTGTTCGTGTTGCAAGTGTGCGTTATGGAGATGTTAACCTCCTCGGCAGAAAAGAAGGGTGAAACGCCAGAGATTTTGCTATCGCTCGTCTTTTCCGCATCATTGAGCGATGTGTCTGCCTCGCTGTCCGAGGACTCCATGATGTGGCTGTGCTTGTTCATAGCCTGCATTAGGTGCGAGGTGCCCGTGCCTGTGACCGTCATCAAGGCACAGCCTACAACGCCGTTGTCCTGAAACTTCTTCTCTGAGCCAAAGGATAAGTGTGAGGTGAGCGATAAAAGCTGGCCCGGCGTACGCGCATTGAGATTGGGCGAGCAGTTGATGAGATCGGATATCTCCAGGTCTCGACGCAATTCAATTTTGCTCAGACCAAAGTCGGTCAGCTTCACATGGCCGCTGGCCGACAGCAGCATGTTGTCCGGCTTGATGTCGCGATGCACAATGCCATGCTGGTGCAGATATTGCAAGGCCATGACCATCTCGGCCACGTAAAAGCGAGCCGTCGCCTCGTCAAAGTAGCCATACATGGCCAGCAGCGATTTGAGATCGCCGCCCACCATGTACTCCATAACCAGATAAACGGAAGACATCGATTGCAGCGAGTAAAAGAGATTCACACAGAACGGTGAACGCGACAGGGCCAAAGCGTTGCGTTCGGTTATCACCTGGGAGACCATGTTCTTGTTGATCATCTCCGACTTGCGCATCACCTTGATGGCAAACAGTTTATTCGCATCGTTGTTCTTATAGCCGAGGAACACCTTGCCAAATGCGCCACGGCTGATGGGCTTGATAATAACGAAATCCCTAATGGTGGGCAGCTGCAGCGACAGAAACGTAAATAAATATGGTGTATATACATGTGTGTGTGTGTCAAATAACGGCACGCTTATGTCCACTGTGTGCGTCCTGAATGTGTGGGTGTGCTGTAACTGTAATCACACATTTACCTTTGCATTATGCGAGTGATTCTCCGGTTTAGTAGTTAATATATTAATTTTCTTCAACAGCTCCTCGTGCTCGAAAGTGGAGCTAGTTTTCTTTGGCGTTTTGTAGTCAATTTGCACCTCGATTTGCGATGCCGACGGATCAGCGTGTTCCATGTTATCCTCTAATTCTTGATTATCTTCACTTTTCTGCTTCGCCGGATATCTTTCGCGCGTAAAGTTATTTTGGACAACCCTTGTTAGTATTGCCTAGACATCTGCATATTTAATTAATGTACGTTCACAATACAATTTAAATTCATAGATTTAAATAGCATTAATTTAAGTTATTACGAAGTTTTCAAAGCAACAATTTAAACAGCGCGTCGACTTTTTTCTTTATCATAGTGTTCAATAATTGTTTATTTACAGGGTTGCATTTTCGGAACAAGTTGACAGTCCTATGCAGACACGTTGATATTCAAATGTATAGACGGTATGCATCTACTATAACCGGATTTAAATAATTACCTTTAAAGAAACATTGGAGCAGGGTTGGTATATTATTCTGTATGGTGTACAAAACACATTTATAATGTTTACTTTCCTAAAGAACAATTTTGTAATAGTTGCAGACGCAAAAGAAAACCTTTGCGAAGAACAGTAGTCAAAATAACGATTAATCAAGGCGCATGAAACTTATCGATTAGTCGATGATTGCTTCGATTATTTTCAAAACAAGTACATTTGAAGAAAGCCCGCGCAAACTCTGCTCAATTCTATTTGATGACTTTTTCTAAGCGCTAGAATATTACTTCTACGCCGTAGTCTCCTAAATGAAAGCCATTCTTATGATTCGCAAATCTTATTTATTTTCCATTTACGCACATCTTCTGCCTTGACATTTTCTAATATGCGAGTTGTAAGAACATATGACAATTTAGACCTTGTCACGGGTTCAAGTCCAAAAAGAAACAAGCGCTTATTAAAGTGATCTTTATTTTTAAAATATTTGAATTTTTACATATTCTTTTTGTGTGTTTTTTTTTTATATACTAATACAAATCATGGTCACAAATAAAATGAAGATACACAAATCTTATAGTTCTTGTACAGCTATAGCTACATATGTCTTATGTATGATAAATTTTAATGTGCCTATTATTTTTTCTTTTTGTACCTTATATCCTACTGATATCATTTAGTTGGGGAGATAGACAGATTTGTCAGTGCATAGCTGAGCCTTGCGTCCACGCCGGACGCCGAAGCACAGCTATGCAGCAAGAAATCATTAAAAGGCTGTTCATGTGCATATCGCGTAACTAACAACTTCCACAAGCTGGAAGAGGAGCAGCCAGCACTGCTGCACGGATTTGGTTTTTGCCCAATTTAGATGCTTACTCTAAACATGCAACATTGCAAGAACAAAAATTGTCACTACAACGTTACAACAATGAATGACACTCATCTTTAATGCCAAAGCTAACGGGTAGATGTTGGGTTGGGTCTTGGGATTTGAACTTAGCGTAAGTGAATCGCTCACATTATGGCGCAGCGGGATCTATTGGCACCCTCGCCCTCTACGGGCACGTCGGCAGCCGAATTGGCCACAGCATCCACGCCTTCGCCCTCAACATTCTCATTCGGCACCACATCCTTAACTGGCGTGCCGCTTTTCTTGGGTGTCTCCAGGCCAGCTTCCTGTCCCACAGTTACCTCATCGCTGCCCGACGATTTGTTTAGCTGCTGCTGCTCCTCCTCCTGGTTAATAGTGCCCGACACATTTTGCACCCCACCAACTTCATCATCATCGCCAGCTGGCGGCGTCTGGTCGTGGCGCTGGCGCGTAGACGGTGTGCTGATGGTAGTTTTGGAAAACCGCGACCGCAGCATTGTGAATGGTGATGCCAGGTTCAGGCTGAATAGATCGAAGCGTGCACGCTTCGGCGGCGACATTTCAACATCCTGGGCGAGATCATTGGCCGACTGGCTGCCAGTTAGCGGTGGGGGTGTGCGCTCACGCTTGCGTCCACGTCCAAAGAACGAGAACGAGAACGAAGAGCTGTTTGGTATCTCGGAGCCCACGGTCGCATTCATGCTTGTGTTGGTGCAGCTGGAGGTGTCCAGGTCACTGTTAACGCATCTATAACTGCCCAGCTTGCCGGGCGTAAGTGTGGCTGTCGGGCGTATACTACGCCGGCCGCTTATTTGGGCAAAGCTGCGTGCCGGTGCAGTTGCCGGCGAGCTGGATGGCTGTGCGGCCAGCTCCACCTCGTTGGTCGGCTTGCTGCTGCTGCGGAAACCGAAAAGATTGCGTCCGGGCGTGGAAGTGGCCGTGGGCTGTGTGCTCGCCACGTGATGCCGTATGGGCGAGGCATCCACTGTAAGTGGTTCCATTTCAACATCTTCTACAGCTTCTGGTTTTTGCTCTGCTTCCTCCGGCTGCTTTTTCGAACTTGGCGAATCGCTTTGCTGTGGCTTGCTGGGCGACTTCTGCTGGCTGGTTGCCGCCGCCGCCACCCTGCGCGAGGATTTGCGCTCTGAAGTCGGTGTGTTGGACACTGCCGCAACTTCGGGCTCGTTATCCAAATCAATGACCTCGACAGCGGCCGGTTCAACCTTCTTGGTTGCGGCAGCTTCGATCTTCTTGGCTGCGGCGGTGGCTACCTCAATCTTGGCTTCGGCAGATGGCGGCGCTGTTGGTTTTGTCTCGGGTTTGACTGGCTTGGCGGCTTCATCTTTGACTTCGGGTTTGACCGGCTCCTTCTTTTCGGACTGTTTCTCCTTGGGCTTCTGTTGCTCCCTCACAGCTTGAGTGTTTGAGCTGCCATTTTGATTGCTATTTGTGGATTTGTTAATGCCATTTTGGCCCTTCTTCTCATCATCTTTCGGAGCAGAGGAAGAAGACGAGGAGGTTGAGGCCGTGGAGGAGGTGCTGGGGGATCGCTGTTGGGTAACGCTCGACTTCTTGAGAGCTACAAATGGACCCATAGAGATATTCGACTCGTTTTTCTTGCTCATATTGCTGTTCTGCGGACTGTTGGAGCGTCCATTGGATTGCTGCAGCCGCGAGACTGTGGTGCCACCAGCGCCTGCTCCGGTCAACGACATCGGCACGCGCCGCCCGCCAGAAGCTGAAGCGCCGCCACCTCCTCCTACATTATTCGGTTGTGCCATTTTGCTTAGCATTGGATCGTCGTCTACTTTGTACTAATTCGTATTGCACGAAGATTCTGGAAGATATGAAATAAAATGAACATACGGTTAAAACAGACGCTTCAAATCAACAACTTCTACCAGAAACTACATTACTTTTACATTTTGTTAAGCGCTTTAACTAGGCCCGAGAAATGATCAGCCCTCAGCTGAATTCTTTTGCACACTTCAAGTGAATCGAAAACGAAAGATAACCAAACACGCTTCATATTTTATTCAAGAGCAAAGCGATGCGGTTTGTTTACGTCGTATTTGTGGTTGCACCCAACAATGCTGTCGCATTCCTTGCGAGAACTGGCTTTGCCTCGCCTCTTGCCCCACTTACCACAGTTGCAGTTGTTGTTCTTTGTGTTGCTTGGCAATTATCAATCACAGATGCAGTTTCGTGTTTCGCTGTATCTATATTTTCTGACGTTAATCTTAGACGCTTAGCGTTCTTATATTTTTTTATTTTTTACACACGTGTTGACAGTTTAAAGTCGACTTTTTGTAATGGCTGGCAAAAGTTGTTGCACAGTGTTTAAGTAGTCGCAGTTAGGGTTTCAGGTAGACAGGAAGGTAGATAAAGCAGCAGCAGGAGCTGATTTGCTACCTGCCGCGGACAGCTGCGGCACAAATCGTTTTATGGACAACATCTGTATGTCGTAAATGATTATCGGGAATGGCCAGTAGCCTGACAATATAGTATATATCGGGATCGTAACTGCTGCGATCTGATAGCATGCAATAATTTCGGGATCAATTAATGTGTCAATGCTCCAACAGAAGAAATCGTTCCACTTTAATAAGTCTTGCTCCCCCACAAATTCTTAACTGGCTTCCGGTAAATGAACAAAGGGCTGGCACAAGCATACAGTACACAATCGATAAAGCCAACTTGAAGCTAAGTGGAAGTTTTTGTAGTAATTTATTTGTATATTGTTTGCAAACCTATGAAGAACGTATTTTGTTTATAATACTATTTTTTAAATAATTTTTTAGCTAATACAAATCTTAAGCCTTTTTAAAATGCGCAATCAACTTTTAGTTTCATTTATCGAGTGCTTACTGTAATTCTGGTTTGCGCACACTGCATGAATAGTTTTCAAAACAGCGCAAATACCTCAACAAATACCGGTCAGAGGGTGGCTAAGATGCAACGAAAAAAAAAACAAGTACAATTGCGGGAATGGAGGAAGAGTCGTTTCATGGGAGCAGCAAAGTGTGTTGCAGTTTTCTTTTAGAAAGTGCAGGAGGCAACAACGCGAAAAGTAAAACGGAGAAAGAGAGAAAATTTGCAGACACAAACATACACACACACACATGCACACGATGCTGCAGCAAACGACAATAAACACACAAGCAAACGCGCATTAAAATACATACACACATGCATTCACATGTATATAGTTATGCGCCAAGCCCTCGCGCCGTCACTGTATTCTTTTTTTTTTTGTTTTGCAGCACTTTAATAAACCAAACACAGGCAATATTCTGAGTATGTATGTATGTAGGTGCGACACAGCGGCGAGCATAGCGGGTGTATACATATGAATGTATGTATTTTGAAAATTAGTTTTGATGTTTACATTGCCAGTACAAAGTACGCGTTATAAATTACTTGATGCGTAAAATAAAAATAAACATAAAATGCAAAGTACTTTTCCCTGCTGCAACAAAGGCACACATACTTATGTTGCATATACAACCATGTACATACATACATAGATAAAAAGGCGGGTTACAGCGCGCGCCAAAATATTGAGCACTGTCTGCGCCAGTTGATATTTAACCGTATTTCTTTCTTTTCTTGAACCTTACAATTAAATATTCATATAAAATCGTAGTTTATAGATAAGAATCGAATGAATTGCTGATAATTCTTCAAAATTAGAAAGGCATTCAGCGTTGTGCCCTTTACCTTAATGCTTTGCCACCACTGTACCAGACAGGCTCAATTGACGGGGTTTATTTTAAAAATGGCGGAAGCTGCAGCGACAAATGATAAAAAAATAAGTACATACACACATTCTATTTAGACTTGGGCATATGTACGCGAGCATTTTTGTAAACATATCGATCACACACATTTTTCAAAGTTTCATATTACTACTCTGTATATTTCACCGAATTCGCAGTCTTTTATTATCTGCAATTGAAGCCCGGCAACTGTGCATGCTTTGTCTACACCAGACTCGAATCCTACCACAACACAAAATAAATAATTGACAGCTACACTTGTTTGGAAATATACATACATACATGTATATATAGGCATATGCAAAAATAAAACAAACCTTTTTCTTTTTAAAACACAGCAAATTATTTTTAAAATGAATAAGCCCCTAAAATCGGGGCGAGACCAAAAATGCTACCGACGCCAGTGAAAAAATTAAAAAACTAACGCGCGACGAAAAACAGTGTGACCGCACTTCATAAATAGACAAATACAAATTTCCCGAGTACAAAACCAAAAGGTAATTTTGTTTGTTCAATTACCGTAGACTACATTTTTAGTTTTTGGACCGTAGGTGATAAAGATCCAAATTATTCTGGTTTTCGGACAAATCTATGTTCCTTTTGCTTGTACAACCGATTTTTAGTGACGGAAAGTTAATATATTACCTCTAGACTTAAGTAATTAAGAAATAAAAGAAGTTTAACAGTGCCACCGAGTAATTTATTCCATATAACAGTTTAAGAGCTGTGTGATCGACGGCTTCGATCTCGATACTTATATTTAAATCAAACGTTATTTTAAAACTCTTGTCTTTGAGATGAATTCAACATATAATTTTATTTGAATGGAAAAATAAGGTTTTTAAAGATATATTCACCAGCTTCAGCAATTATGCTCTTCCCTATTTTTCTCACATATTTGTGAAACCGCAAAACATAATTGTACATATTTATAATTTTAATATTTGGCGTGGTGAAGAAAGATTTCTTGATTCAAATAAATTATACACATACAAATTTGAATTTACATTGGAAGATGGCCTGTCGAACAATGTCCTTTTTAAGTCGCATCGGTACTCGGCTCACTTGGCACTGTTAGCACGGATGTTAAATAGCTTAACGTATAAGGAAGCATGTATATACTTTCTTTTCAATCCTCGTGCTGAACTACAATGATTTAGTAAAATTCCTGACTCATGAGAGCCTTATATACTTATATATACTTTATCGTAGCCAATCAAAGAACACTTCCCCCGAAAAATCTTTAAACCAGATAAGTAACGTGGTGGTAGAGACCAGCTGAAGATTTAAGGTCAGTCTCACCTCCCACCAATGGGGGATGCTGTGCCTTGCTTGGGGCGTGGTAATACAGCCCCTAGGACCTACAGGTCCGATGATCAACAATGCATTGACAATAACAAATCGATACATTAGGTTAAAATCGTCGAAGTTCGTTGCATCGATCTTCTTTGAAATTCCTAATCATACTTAGTAAGCGATGCACCCGTTTCCCTTTGGAGCTCCCAGATCTTCTCATTTGCATGGGGTGTGCCAAGCGCAGGCCATTAGGGTAATACAGTTAAGTAAAACAATTCATTAGATCGCATTGTGGGTGGTATTATTGATCAAAATTCATCCCTTCGATGATCAAGTGATCGATATTAATTTTTAAAAAATAATTTTGTTGTCGATCGATTACAGGCGGAAGAAAATATCTTCATCCCGACGAGCTGTGTCTAGCTAACCAGGTCCGTCTGTGCGAATCCGACGATCTTGAAAACTACAAAAGCCAGAGACTTTAAATATCTAATCTTTCCTATACTCTCCATTTAAATATCGATCTTGCTTTCTTGAATTATCGATAAGACAGCCATCCAAATCTGAGCTTTCGTCAGTTTTATATATTTTTTTTTTGTTTCTTTATTTTACTTTTTACATACATAATTCACATATCGCAATTATGAATATATGCTCGCATTTACAATCGCTTAAATACTAAATTTGTTTATGCTTTTATTTTCGGCCTGTTTAATTTGCATTTGTGTTGCCTTCTCAGTTGAGATGCACAATATTTAAACGTTAATTGCAAATCCACAATTACAATTTGCTTTGTCACGATCGATTGTTTTTGTTTGTTTTTGTTTTTATTTTATTCAATTGTTGATGTTCTTTAAACGTTACTTGTTTTGTTGTTGTTGTTGTTTTTGTTTCTTGTATATGCCTATATCTGCCTTAAATTACAAATTATTAAATTATTTTAACATGTACTTAGATTGGATTAGATTGTTACAGCTACCCGCCCGTCGCCCAGAGCTTCGCTGCGCACGATTCAACTTTTAGTTCAACGCTTTGCTCCGACCAGCTGCATTTTACTTTAGCTAAACGCACATCATATCTGCACATCTGCATAAACAAAAGGCAATTGATGACAAATTAACGCACAGCCAGACAAACTAAATCAACACAATGTTAGGCCCTAAAACGATTCGAACTCAAACATTAAGGTAAGATTCAGTTGTCGCAGTTTGTTCTGCTGCTTCGGTTGTTATTGTTGTTGTTGTCATCGGTGCCTGCTGTTGACTCAGACTCGAACACGTTTTTGGTCTGTTGTTGTTGTAATTGTTGTTGTTGTTGTTGTTGCTGCTGCTGATGCGGACGCTGATGCGGATGTGGTCGTTGGTTGCAGCGGCTGTCTGGATATTGCAGACGGCGTCGAAGCAGGCGTCACGTCTCCGCTCATTGGGTTTGATATTGTGGCATCGCAGCGCTGTACATCATCTGTGGGGCAAGTGAACCGTTTGCGGCAGCAGCCGCGCTGGCAGCAGCAGACACGCCTGGCACCACAGTGGCGCCTGGGACGCCCCAAGCCATATTTGGCGGCATCACACGGTACCCGGCAGCTGCAGAGGACAACACGATAAACATCAATATATTATAAATTAAATAAAATACGATAGACTGATCTTTTCTATATGTATGCAGCACTTTTAATTGCCAATAGCTGGCGCCCTCTTTAATAACATGCGAATTTCTATATTGTAATTATTTCACGAAATATTTTACGTTTAGAAGACATGCTCAATCCCATAAAATATATATATTCTTGATTAGTATCAGCTTTGAATAACTCCTTGCGGAAAACAATAGGTCTAAAAGTTTTCATAGCAAAATATTTGTCTCTTAAGATACCTTTACCCAACTCCGAGCTTTTCTATGCTTCTAACATATGCGTTAATATGTTCAACTTCGGACAACAGAAATAATTGGCTTCTACACGCAAGAAAAATCTATATCTTCAACAAGATGCTTGATGATTCTATCAAATAAGCTTTCTCGTGTTGGATATTCAACCTGCCCAAGCACTGTACTACAAAACCAATTAGCAAACTTCTCCAATAAATAGATATGTACATAAAGGTCCTGGACTAATTTGTCTGTATATACGTATCGATAATTGATCTGTGCATAAGTAGATCTATACGTATTTAAGAAAAGTAGATCGTATTGTAATTGGTATGATAC